TATAACAATTTTATAATCCAACTAAAATACAATTCTTATTTAACTTAAGAAAAAGAAAAATCAGTTGGTGGATACCTAGTCTTGCTTTTGGGTGCTAACTAGAATATGCCACGTGTGATCCCTCTCTCCAGACACCCAGTATAAAATATCGTAAACCTCGTTGCTTGATTTTTCTCTCAAACCCTCAAACTTTTGAGGCGTCGTCTTCCCTTTTTTCTCTTCACACCGACTCCATCTACCTATCGGCCGGAGGTGATTTCTATCGCAAACGCTTTCAATCTCGATCAATCCCTAGATCTTTCACTTTCCGATCTCAAGGTATCGATCTGATCGAATATCATGTTTCTAGGGTTCGTTTTTCGTTGAAATCGTGATTTTTGGTTTTCGATGTGATTTTAATCTTGTTTGTTTGGTTTTAGATGGTGTCTGATGCGAGCAAGAAGAAGGCGCTCCAGAAGAAGGCAGCAGCGGCTGCCAAGAGAGGAGGTAAAGCAGCAGCCGCCGCTACTTCGGCTAAGGCGGCGGCTGTTGGTACGATGAACGGAAGTTCTAGTACCGATAACTTGTCGAATGGGATGGGGTCTCTTGTGATATCCGACCGTACTTGTACCGGTGTTCTTTGTTCTCATCCGTTGTCTAGGGATATTCGGGTAAGAACAAAAGTGAAAATTGGATCTGTATTTCTATAAATTTGGGTTTTTTATTTTTCTTTATGGTTTGAATTGCTATTTAGGTTGATCCAATTATAAAACAACACCTAGGTTCAGAAATTTAACAGGCTGGGAATGAAAAGCTGTTTGTATATTGTTTAATATGATTTCTAGGGTTCTTAGTTTTTATAAAGCGATGAATTGACTAGCTTCACATATTGATAATATAATCATATTAGGTTATATTCAGGTCCCAGAAAAAGGATATTTTTGTTCTGTTTAGATATTATTCTATCATGTTAATGGTTTGTTGATTTGTGTATGTTATCCATGTTTGATGTTCGTCCTTAAAGTTACTTATTTTTTAACTAATGAATCTTTTATGACTTATTTGGTGGTGTATAATTGTATATGGTTGACCCTGCTTCCGTTCTATCTTTTGTCCTTTTAATATGTTATATGAATCTTTCTTCTGAAAACGAATTTTGCTGAATTCTTTTCCATGTATGTTTCAGTTTCATATCTTCAAGTTGTAACTTTTGTAATGAAGAATGTTTCATTATTTTTATAGCTATAATCTATAACCCAATTTCTAAATTATGATTACAGATAGAGTCTCTGTCACTTACTTTTCATGGACACGATCTTATTGTTGACACTGAACTTGAGCTTAACTATGGGAGGTATGCACTTTGCACTTTGCACTATTCTCTTGTGTCACATAATTTTTTTTCCCACCATATAGTTTATCTTACATTTCTTCATTATATATTACTTTTCAGACGTTATGGTTTACTTGGTTTAAACGGATGTGGTAAATCCACACTTCTGACATCAATTGGAATGAGAGAACTTCCAATCCCTGAACACATGGACATCTTCCATCTCACCAGAGAAATCGAAGCCTCTGACATGTCATCACTCGAAGCTGTCATGAATTGTGATGAAGAAAGGCTAAAATTGGAAGCTGAAGTTGAACGTTTAGCTGCACAGGTTCTAACTCTACTAAAAAAACAATCTTTACACATTTCTTTACATGGGTTTCATGTAAATCACATTTTTTTTTTGGTTTAGGATGCTGGTGGTGGTGATGCTCTTGATCGTATCTATGAACGTTTAGATGCCATGGATGCATCAACTGCAGAGAAACGTGCAGCTGAGATCTTAAATGGTCTTGGATTCGATAAACAAATGCAAGCAAAGAAAACAAGAGACTTTTCTGGTGGATGGAGGATGCGTATTGCTTTGGCTCGTGCTTTGTTTATGAACCCAACAATCTTGTTGCTTGATGAGCCCACTAATCATCTTGGTAAATTCCTATCCTCTTCCTGAAAATTAAAATCACATTTTCTTAAATAAATCACAAGAAAACATCAACATAGTCTTCATCTATAACCACACCTTAGTTCCAACTTTTTACCAATAATTCTAATACAAAACACAATTTTCACAACTCATTTACCAAAATGACATCAATATGTTTTTTTCTCAGATTTGGAAGCGTGTGTGTGGTTGGAAGAAACCCTAAAAAACTTCGAGCGAATCCTCGTAGTTGTCTCCCACTCCCAAGATTTCCTAAACGGAGTATGCACCAACATCATCCACATGCAAAGCAAGAAACTCAAAATCTACACCGGAAACTTCGACCAATACATCCAAACGCGATCCGAACTTGAAGAAAACCAAATGAAACAATACAAATGGGAACAAGACCAAATCGCCAACATGAAAGAATACATCGCGCGATTCGGTCACGGGTCGGCCAAACTCGCCCGCCAAGCCCAATCGAAAGAAAAAACCCTCGCAAAAATGGAACGCGGCGGCCTCACCGAAAAAGTCGCGCGCGATAAAGTCCTCGTCTTCCGCTTCGTCGACGTCGGTAAACTCCCGCCGCCTGTGCTCCAATTCGTCGAAGTCTCCTTCGGTTACACCCCGGAGAATCTCATCTACAAATGTCTCGACTTTGGCGTTGACCTTGATTCCCGTGTCGCGTTAGTGGGCCCGAATGGAGCGGGGAAAAGTACTTTACTAAAGCTTATGACGGGGGAGCTTGTTCCTCTTGATGGCATGGTGAGACGACACAATCATTTGAGAATCGCGCAGTATCATCAACATTTGGCGGAGAAGTTGGATTTGGAGATGTCGGCTTTGTTGTATATGATGAGGGAGTATCCGGGAAATGAAGAGGAGAAGATGCGCGCGAGTATCGGGCGGTTTGGGTTGACCGGGAAAGCGCAAGTGATGCCGATGAAGAATTTGTCGGACGGGCAGAAGAGTCGGGTGATTTTCGCGTGGTTGGCGTTTCGACAACCGCAGATGCTTTTGCTTGATGAGCCGACGAATCATTTGGATATTGAAACGATTGATAGTTTGGCTGAAGCTTTAAACGAGTGGGATGGAGGGATGGTGTTGGTGAGTCATGACTTTAGGTTGATTAATCAAGTGGCGCATGAGATTTGGGTGTGTGAGAATCAGGCTGTGACACGTTGGGAAGGGGATATTATGGGGTTCAAGGAGCATTTGAGGTCTAAGGCTGGGTTATCAGGTTAATGGTGCAGTTGTTATATTGTATGCACCGATGTTTGAGCTCGTGAGGCTTGTATTTGGATATGGCTGCATGGGCTGTTTATCGATTTATAAAGCTGAAAAGAGTTGTGGGAGAGGGTTAAGATTGGGGATATTTTAGGGGCTGGCTTTTGTTGAGCACTTATCAGTTATCAATCGCTCTTCTCTCCTTTTGAGGCATCTTGTTTTTAATCTAGATTTCTTTCTTGCACTATATTTTTGATTTTACTTTAATGAACGAAAACATGGGTTTACTTATGATTGCTACAATTTTTATTGAAGAGTGTAATGACTTTGATTCTAAGTAAGTATTTGGATTTCTGTATTGATATATTTGTGCATCGAGTGATGTTTTTGTCTTATGGTTGCTATTTTAAAAGAAAAAGGGCATGGAGATGATCCATCTATGTAACTATGTTGGAGATTCGACTTGTATTTGTCACACGGTTTGATTATGCTTATAGGAGTCGGACAATTTAGGTTTTTTCCTGTTGAAAGTTGGTTAGTTGCTTAATGCTCACTGCAAGCCAAAGCAATTATTGGGCACCCCTTGGTTTTAGCACGTCCATAAGATTTTGGTTGACCTATTTCGGTTATTAATTATTTATTTATTTTTTTGAAATGGCAAATTAATCTATTCTTAATTATCATCATTTATGTCTCTTTTACTTATCCCATAACATTTTTTAAAAAAGTCATTCTATATTACTAGGTCAAAGAGCCTTTGGTATTTCGGTTAAGTGGCAAGAATAAGTAAGCTTAGGCCCATATAGATTCTAGGTAGGTAGGTGAAAAAGTGGCAAGAATAAGTAAGCTTAGGCCCATATAGATTCTAGGTAGGTAGGTGAAAAAATGTACTATCCATTATCCATTATGTGAGACCTATCAAAATATAATATTTGGATAAAATGTAACGTTAACAAATTAATCAAAATTTATGTTTAGCGGAAAAAGTAGACTATAAATGAAACATTATTACATTTATATATTATTTTTACATGGAAAAAGTACAATAAATGATGCTTTATTACTTCAAAATATAATATTAACGAATTAACCAAAATATAATAATGACAAATTAACTAAAATTAATTTGGGTTTGATTGTTAATGGATATGGAAATTTATGTTTAATTGGATAGTAGTAAAACGTGTTTGGTAAACCAAATAAAATTCCTGAAATCCGACAGAAAAACTCGAAATCCAAATCAAATGAGACGCCCCAATAAAAAGCCCGAAACATATCGGACTGGTTTGGTGAATGTCATGCCCCATCCGGCCGCCCATTGCCATTACTAGGCAGTTAGCCTTAACGCCTTGTTCCCGATGTTTTTTTCTTTATTATTATTGATTTTTTTAAATTCAATAAACAAAAGAGAAGGAAAATATTGAAAGAAAGAAAAGAAGGAGAAGAAAAATTTTCTTGATTCCCTGATCCCGAGTTCAAAGAAAATGAAAGGAAAATTTTAAAATTTTGTGTTCCTAAATTAGGAGGAAAAAGAAATAAAACTTAAAGATTTTTTTCCTATCACTTTCTTTTAAAATCTGTCCAATATAAGAGGAAAATGTGAAAGGAACACATGACTCTAAAATCTTTTCTTTCCCTTTACTTTCCTTCCATTAATGAAACTCGTGAACACGATTTTCCTTCGATATCCTCACTTTCCCTCCCTATCCATCAATATCCCTCCATATCCATCCATAAGTTTTTTCATTAAAAAAAAGCACTCCTTTGGAATGGTTGATATGGTACACATTACATTCAAATGCTACCATGGCACGTAAAATGCTCAGATTCTTGCAGAAGTGCAAAAACACCAATCACTTAAAGCAAACTCATCTCCAGATACTCGTCAATGGCCTCAAAGACAATGACTCTCTATTACACAATCTCATCACTGTTTCCTCCGACCTCATTTCAGTGGATTATGCTTTCACTGTGCTTCAAACTTCGAATTCTCCTGACGTTATTGCTTATAACACAATGATCAAATGCTTCATCGGTCGTGAAAACAACTCTACCGCATATAATGCACTGCGTGCTTACAAACAGATGAGGAGCAGAGCGTTTTTGGTATCACCCAACAGTTTCACCTTCACTTTTCTTCTGAAAACTATCGAGGGTTTGGATGTCGGTAGAATGATTCACGGAGAAGTTTTGAAGATGGGTCTTGACGCTTCGAGTGTGTTTGTTGGAAACACCCTTCTAAATTTCTACTCCAAGTCTGGTAATGATGGTGTTGACTTGGCGTCCAAGGTGTTCGATGAAATGCCTGAGAGAGATACCGTGTCTTGGAATACAATGATTGCGATGTATATGGATTGTCAAGAAGTTGAATCCGCTATCAAGTTGTTTGAATCAATGCCAAAAAGAAGCATCGTGACATGGAATTCTGTCATCACAGGGTTAGCAAAAAACGGAAAGATGGAATCCGCACGTTCAGTGTTCGACAAAATGCCTGAGAAAAACGAAGTTTCATGGAACTGTCTAATCTCTGGATATGTCAAAGCAGGTGACTTAAAAAACGCAGAGAACATGTTCGATGAAATGCCTGTAAAGTCTGTGGTAACATCTACATCAATCATATCAGGATACGCTGCATCTGGAGATCTTGAATCAGCAAGAAAAATGTTCAATCAAATGGGCATCAAAAGAAATGTAGTAACTTGGAACGCTATGATTGCAGGATATGTAAACAAAAGCCAATTCAATGAAGCTCTTTCTTTGTTTCATTTCATGTTACTTGATAACAAATGCAAACCTGATCACATCACTTTAATTAGCATCCTCTCTGCTTCTTCTCACTTGGGTTCTCTTGAAAATGGCAAATGGATAAGCTCATATATAAACAAAAACAAGATTAATCTCTCAACCCCTTTAGGAAACGCATTAATAGACATGTTCACAAAATGTGGGGACATCGAAAATGGTAAATCAATTTTTAACAAAATGTCCAACAAATGTATAATCACATGGACAACAATGGTGTCAGGGTTGGCAGTTAATGGGAAATGTAAAGAAGCTTTGAATTTTTTTAACAAGATGTGTGATGAAGGAATAAAACCAGATGATGTCATGTTTATTGCTGTTCTTTCAGCTTGCAACCATGGAGGAATGGTGAAAGAGGGTAAGAGTTTATTCCAAAAAATGGTAAATTTCTATGGGATTAAACCTAAAATCGAGCATTATGGATGCTTGATTGATCTTTTAGCTCGATCTGGGGAGTTACATGAAGCAATTAGGTTAATAGAAAACATGGATTTGGAGGCTAATTCGGTAATTTGGGCTACTATGATTAGTGCTTGTAAGCTACATGGAAATGGTGAATTGTTTGAGTATGTAAGTAAGAAAGTATTGGATAAAGAAGGTTTAAATTGTGGATATTTGACATTTAATTACAAATTTGAGTTCATCAATTGGAAGGTGGGAAGATGCTTTGAGGTTTAGGTTGGAAATGAGAGAGAAAGGAATTGAAAAGATTCCTGGTTGTAGTTTGATTCAAATTGGGGATTGTGTGCATGAATTTGTTGCTAGAGATACAAATCATGTGCAAAGGAGTGATATTTATGAAATCTTGGAGTGTTTAAATGATAACTTGTTAGAATGTGACTTTTAATGATCACTTGTGAATTCGGCAGTCCTTATGGTTTTAATTTGTTGCACACATGATCTATCTCTCTCTCTCTCTCTCTCTCTATATATATATATATATAGATTATATATATATTATATATATATATATATATATATATAATATATATATATGGGAAAAGTGAATATACCCTTAAGGGTATATAAGATTAGGTACCCAATAATCAAAACTGTGTCGTTTGGTTTTGCTACATGAATACATCCTTCCTAAAAACACTGATAACTATCATTTCCTTCCTAAAAACATTGAGGTTTGTCATCGACTAACCTAAGAAAGCACAAAGGTTCCATCGTTTCTTGATTTTGTTGATTCACCATTGATTAATACTTATATAGCAGGTTTCGGTTCGTGATTTTGGCGTCAATGTTTCGATGAATGTCATAGCTTTACTGATTTTTCGACTGCTTTCGTGATTGTGTGTATGCATCAATTCTTTCCAATTAGATTTATACTAATTTCACTTGACAAGTTGAGGCGTTTTTCGATTACATATTCTTCAATTTGTTCTTCGTGTGCATTAGATAAATTTAAATTAGATATATACTATTTTTCATTAGATTAAGGTGTGTAAACGAAACAAGTTCATTCTATGGTAATTTATGTTGGAACAGCCCCTGCAACCTTCTAAACAAATAAGAAAGAAAACTAAGAGTTGTTCCCTGTTGTTGCTGTACACGAAAAGAAAAGAAAAAAGAAACAGATGGAGACTTTGTTTTCATACAAAAGCTGCTCTGGACTCAACAACTACACTTTATTGATCAAAACAAATGGCTATAAATAGCCTACAAAAACCCAACGGAAATAAACAATACCATCCTAAAAACTAGTCACTACTCCTAATGAAAAGGACACTAGAATGACCAAGTATACAACACGTTTTCTCACTTTAAACTTGGTCAAAGTCCTTTATTCAAACATAAACAAATCAAACCAAATACTATCCTTTTACCCATACCCATAACTCCAATAAACCCATGACCCATGTCAAGATTACCCAACAATTTATATATTATGTTTCTGGTGATGGTAATGTACACCAGGTGTTTGATTAAATACCTTGGTGAAGTTTTGTCTCAATATGGCTTAAAGGCATTGGCTTTTATTGACAATGGGTAATTTCAACTATATTTTCTTCTTTGATGCCTATTTTACATGTCTAACTAATAAGATAAGTCAAGATACCAACTTTCATTTAATTTAATGATTTCTTAATCATATATCTGTAGTATACACAAACTTACAAAACGTCACTCCTTAGTTTTGACAGATAATGGCTTGGAAGGGTATGAACGATAGGTATGCCCATATAGAAGCAATGTTATTCTACTTGGGTTTGATTCTTTTTCCTGTTATAGCATATTTGGATCAAACTGAAAGCGCAATACCATATCATGCATATACAAATATGCAAACTTTCAAGCTATGCACTTTACTTTATTCTTTGGCAATTAGGAATCAAGATGAATATCAACAAGCACAATACCTGTGTTGATGACTATTTTACATGTTTGACTAATAAGATAAGTCAAGATACCAACTTGCAGTTGGTTTGTTAATTTGGAATTTTGGTGCGATTGGTTGTGGAATTTCAATTGGTTTTTGGCAATTACAGTGTGTTGAATGTAAGATACTAAATAAAAATTAAGTTTTTATTCTTCCTTTTTAATCAAATGTGCCACTTCATCAACATTATGTAAATCTTTAATATTGTGGATTAAAAATGAAAGTAGTCTATCACATTGGGTTAAAATTGAAACTTTGCTGCAATTATTGTTTAAAAAAATGAAAGTAGGCTGCCATTATTGGTTAATCTTTGTTAGACCATTAATGGTAGTTTTTTTAGTATTTGATCAAACTAAACACAAATATTGAATGATAATTGAGCTAAATTGCAACATAACACTCAGATTTTGTTTTTGGTTCTTCAACAGGTTTTGAAAGAAGAGGAAAAAGACAAAAAAAAAAAAAAAAACTGAAGAAGTTGTTGTCCACCATCTTCACTAGTGTTGAATAGTTTCAAATCTTTATTCCACTTTCTCATGTAAGAAAGAGCCATCAACATCAGTTTCAAACAAGCCATCCTCCCAATCCTAGTACATTAGGAAAATGAAAATAGATTGTAAGGTGTTAGACTTGCTCTCAATTTTTTCTGTGAAAAAGACACAAATGCCATCATCGTCTTTAAAATGTACTTACCTAAAACTGCTCACGGATTGAAGGAGCAAATCTGTATACTGTATTAAGCATCGATTTGGATGATCCTGCTACTGGAACTGAATGAGGTGTGAGGGTAAATCAGTCTTTTTAGATTCGAAGGAGCAATCAAGAAGAACCATGTATTCTACATGTGTGCATTGTGGCGCTTTACGTATCTGCTTTGCCCTTTCTTGGACGATTTTGGCCCTGTCCCAAAATAAAATGACAGAAAACATGAAGCAATACGAATGATAAGACACTAATAGTATAAAAGCAGGGACAAGAATAATATAAGATTATTACAATGATAGTAAATCACATGGGTTTTCTTATTGATTTATGATATAGTTGGATTGAATGTAATGAAATCAGAAAGTAGTGGAATTAACAAGGTAACAAAACATAGTCATTACATCAACATCAAAGTTTACTTATAACTACAAGCGTACACTTTGCTTCAAGCCTCTGTTACATATTGAAGAAAGAATTAAAGAAATTTCAGGTAACAAAATATGGCATTTGCACAATATGTTTTTTTAGTTGGTTATAAATCATGATTCTTGAGGTCCATTCCGTTATGGAATTCCGCAACTACAGACGGTTTTTTGCACTTCATTAATGAAATGAAGATGAGATCCTTTAGGATTTATTGAAAGATGAAGGTGACATTGTTCCCAGATTCATCAATAGTTAACGAAGACCAATCTCCATTTGAAGCCACATTATCATTTTTCTTTTTTCCACACCTTTAACTGAATTACCCTGATTGGGTTAAAGATGATACGTTGATAAGTGATAAAGAAAATGGTTATTAAATGCTCAATAAGATGATAAATGTCAAATTTTACTCACCGTGGTTATTAAATGGTCAATAAGATGATAAATGTCAAATTTCACTCGCCACTATTGTATCATATGAGATGACATTTTGTCGAACACCTGGTGGGCTTCATTTAATAAGAAATCAAATAACTTCCGACTGTTCGATTTCAGAAAAAGGAAATCAAAGAAAAGATGGAGAAAGAATCGAGCAATAAGCATCAAGTTCAAGTTTTTTGAATTAGAGCTTTAGTTTGGGTTTTCTGACGGATCAATCATTCAGATTAAATAAAAAAAACTTGGAAATGAAATCAATTAACTCGAATAAGATCGTTTGAATTCTTTGCTGCTGCAGGTGGTGTTTTGATTATCGACAAGCAGGAGGACATGTGTGAATATTTTCGACGGTGGTGTGATGATGAACCGATAAGCGAGAGAAAAATAATTGATATTTGCATTTTTAGGAAATAAATAAACAAACTACGTAGTTTCAATGTCCGGTACCTAATCTTATATACCGGACATATTCACTTTTTCATATATATATATATATATATATATATATATATATATATATATATATAATATATATATATATATATTCTAACTCCCTACTAATAGAAAATATATAACGGTTTTTTAATTATTTATTTTTAACATTAATTCTAACTCAATTTAGTATAAAAGTAGGTTTTAGATTCTTGGTTGGACCAGGTTCTTCGTTCTTCCGTCAGACAAATACTCATGACATTTTATAATTTAGGCTATTTATATTTACATAACTTTTATCTACAATATAAACTAAAATAAATAATTAAATTGCAACATGTAGAAGATAATAAAAATTTCATTCCAACCTTGCAAACTGTTAGATATTTAATAATCCTTTGTTTGACTTTGATTAAGCCATTGTGGTCACTATCAAGCTTATTTATGCACCTTTTAAGTCCAATTCAACATATTCACCTGTCGTCTAAATTCTACCATGACAAATCATACCTTTGACTACCTATAAATTCACCTTGTGTAAGAACAAAATGGGGTTTATTTGGATCCACTAATTTCATGCCTTCATACGTTTATCTTTCCATTAACACGCCATAAACCTAAATCAAAAACTACATTAGTAAAAGTTAAGAATCATATAGACTAATTAGAGCATCTTACATTGTAATAGTGCAAATGATTTTGATGACCTCAAAGTTCATCATCTCCCATATAAATGTTACTCTCGGGCATTGTCTTTGTAATAGACTAGAAAAAAACAAATATAATGATATAAAATTATAATAATAAAAGACCACTGATCAACAAAATCACCATTAAACACATATGGATTTTCATCAAAGGGAAGACCATTGAGCAATATGTTTAACGGACCAAAAACCTGTATTCACAATTTTTTTTTTAGAAAAGTCAAGTTATTGACATCAAGAAAAGAGAAAAGGTTCAAAATCAAACAATAAGCCAATAACTACTTTCTTTATTATTTTTAATTGTATAATCTTTAAGTACTCGAGTTAGGATTTTTGGGATTTTTACATACTCTGTCATGGTGGACAATTCTCTTTTCTGTCATGGTGAACAATTCTCTTTTCTTAGATGCAGTATTAAATCTAGACAACAATTTGTTCTACATTCTGTATAAATATTCACCATCGTAAAAAAACAAGATAAACCTATACATACCGAAGTGAAAAAGTGAATTAAAATGTAGATACCATTGCATTATTCTTGAAGGTTGCCAACAACAACCTCTAGTCCTCTACTTACATTCCCTAAAACAGAAAATCTCCTATTTAAATGAACCTCAAATCAACAAATAAAGTTGATAAAAAGTGCTATCAAATATATTATCAAATCATTTGATAAAATCTCTCATTTACACATGCTTAATATCAAATACATTTATACACAAAAAATGATCAATACAGTAACACACCTAACGGGTCTTACCGTATCACATATGCATAATCACGCAAGTCCTTTTGGTTATATACCGATCTAAGCCTTAAGATTTGTCACATAAACAAACCCTTAATTAGGCCTGTTATTTATGTTTTACATTAATAGATGGGACTGATTGTAATAACAAATACATAAAGGTCTTAGTATAGATTTTTCCAAGAGATGTATATAGCAATCAAATTGTATAGAGATCCAGGGTTCTTTATTTTCTCCATAATATTACATCAAATCATTCAAAATGATCGCCTCATCTTCTCCATCATAAGGGTGCATTGTCTTTGAGAATCAATGGATCATAAGGCAATGGATTGACATGGTTCTCGAACCGGTAAGTCATCACGCAATTTGTATGTAATTGTATTGAATAGGTTGATAAATTGCATAATGTGTACATTAGTTCTCAACGAACATGTATAATTTGTGGCCCTACTCAAAGAGCCACAATCTGAATCAGTTTAGTATCATGATCTCACAGCCATATGTAGTTTAGTATCATAATCTCACAGCCATATCTGTTCTAAAAAAGTTTGGTCGGCATGGATATTTTGTGCACCTTAGTTTTGACTAGCATAATCTAGTAGATGGATATTTGATTCTCATTCATTAAATAACATTGTCAATGATAACAATGGCATCGAGGGTCTCAAACCAATCTTGATCACCAAATAATAAATAACAAATTAATTAGATCACTCACCACCAAATGATTTACTAAAATTTTCCTTACAAGGTTATGTTTATTGTTAAAAAAATTATCATTGGTTTTTATGTATTCTTGTAAAAAATTGAAATATAGTAAAAATATATAAACACCCTCAAATTTTGTAGTTTCACAAGTCAAACATCACAACGAACTAATTTTTTTTAGAACGGGATATACCCACGCCCACTAAACCTACTCCTAATGCACACAATTATATGACAGTAGTCCTTTTATTCTTTAATTTTCTAAACTTTAGAGTTAATAAATTATACATTAGGTTAATTACAAAAAAAAAGATATACTAAAATTTAGAATTTATAATTCTCTACAAATCAAATAAAATATTAACATATTTTAAATGTATATAAGAAAGTGTTAAATAAAGTATATTTCACTATGGCTATTTACGAACTCCAACAAACATCATCATGTGCTCCATCCAAAATCCACTGGCCGAATTCACTCGGTCTACACGGCACTATAAGTGCACCCTCGTGCCTAAAACCATACTCCTCGGCTGCACTTTCCAACAACATCTTAAACGATGAACGACCAAGATAAGCCAAAGGAACAATAAATCTCCTTTCTTCATCTTCATTGGATGCAATCACAGCAACATGGCCTTCTTTCACGTCTTCAGGCACCGATTCACGATTCTTGTTCCCCGGAGCCCATTTCTTGGCTTGCAAAAGTCTCTTTTGCAGCTTCCCTACCACCACTTTGAGCTCCAAAATACTACTGTTTTTGTTCATAAAAAATTGGGTTTTTAGCTTTCCCATTTCGTATATACTCTCTCTTTTTTATTTAACAGTTTGGACTATTCTCTGCACTCTACACCTTTAACCATGTACACATCGTTTTATAGACCACTTGGTCATGAATTTGAACGAAGGTACAACAGTTGCATGTGCATGCTATGGAAATTAAAGACCAGTGAATATTTATTGTTTATGTGGAGTCACATCTGTCGACTAGCATTTCTACAACTTTATAGATGTGACTAGGATTTCTACAACTTTAAAGTCCAAATTCTAAATATCAATCATAAACTCTAAAACGACAAATATATGGGTTGATTTTAAGGTCATGCATGCATCAGTTAACGATTCATATATAGAAACGTTTTCGAAATGGGTTGGCCATTTGTACTTTTGTAGTTTTCCTTCATTCCAAATTTATTTTAAATCAAAAAAAAAAAAAAAAAACGCAAAAATAAATAGATAGTTATAGAGTAAAGAATATATTGAATATTCTTTTCCTTTGAACGACAATAGTATTAAAATCATTAGAGATAAACTAACCGACAAAAATTACAACTTTAAGAAAGAACAAGATAAATAAGGGCATAAAAGCCAAGTCCGCCAGTCCATTTCGAGCTTAGGGTAGTCGAAATGGTCTCCTATATATGTGCTCGGGAAGTCCAATGTGGGTACACGGTAGCCTTCGCTACACTGCCCCCATGTAGCCGGTACTGTAAAATTCATGCCGTCTCTGGCATATAGAAGCAATTGGCTTGTGACTTGTGAGGTTACCTCCTCCAAACGTATACTTTCAAGTTTCAAGGTTTATTTTGTTAATTTCTTTTAAGAGCCCCATAAACATCTTTTTTTTTTTTAAGTCAATTTTTTCTACCAAAAAAAACCCTATTTCTAACTCGAAAACCATATTGTAAAATGTGTATTGTTTTCTTTTATCCCTTAAATTTAATAAGGCTCGAGGGAGTGGAGCATGTCATGCCATGCTGCCGTATCATTTTCAAAGCCATAGATTGCTTGCCATGTTATTTTTGTCACACAACATAAATGACATGTCATTTTCAGAGGATGGGTCAAAATTGCTATTTTGTTTTTTTTAATTTAAATAGAAAACAAACACTTCACTAAAATAAAATAAACACTTCACAAAAATAAAATAAAAAGGTTACAATACGCAAACGAAATTCGTAACACCACAATTAAAAATTAAAATCACAAAGATTTAAACATAAACTTAAATCCTACATAAAATCGTTTTCTGAAAATTGACCGTCCAATTCATCTAAATGTGGCATATTAAGGTCAAGATTATTAAGCGTCCAAAGATAATTGGTTAAATTGCGACGTAGATCATGATGTATTTCTGAATTGTGTGTTGCCGCACGTCTTTGCATGTAATAATCGCCACCAATTTCTAGTTGTCGTGTCTCCGGAACGACTTCATGCTCGTCGTAATCACATATCACGATGCCTTCATCTTCTAGTATCATATTGTGCAATATGATACAAATGTACATCACCTCCGTCATCTTAACCTTATCAGTAAATATTGATGGGTTTCTAATTATATGCCAATGCTTTTTCAAAGCTCCAAATGCCCGTTTCACATCTTTCCTCACTCTTTCATGTGTTCTCTTGAATCTAATCCTTCTATTATCATCCGAACACGACAAAGTTTTAACAAACACCGCACACTCATGATATATCCCATCGACAAGGTAGTAACAGAATCTATAATGCCTTCCTCGTAAATCAAAAGAGGAATCCGGTGCGGTACCGTCATACATTTTGTTGAATATTGGTGAATTATTCAGAATGTTAATGTCATTAAGAGACCCGTGACTACCAAAGAAAGCATGCCAAATCCACAGATCCTGTGATGCTACAACTTCAAGTATAACCGACGGATAGCCATGATCACCTCGTGTGTATTGTTGTAACATCCATAAAATTTGAGCCAATTTAAAACTTTTTCAACCAATCAAAAACCATTAATTATTACAATTGTTTTGAAAATGTTTCATGTCAGAGTATCCCATAAATCCAAACCATAAAAAGTAAGGAGGTGCACGATCAAACCTTCGCATTTCCTCGATCATCTGAAGTACCTCAAACCATAAACCAAATTGTAAGCCCGAAGCTTAGTGAGTTCCCCCAAAATACACACACTACAATCATACACATACAATAACAACATACTATGGGTCCAATCATCTATCGGGATGGAATACCCCAGGCCCTCAACCATCGGGTTGGAATGCCAACATACTATGGGTCCAATCATCCTCGAGATGGAATACCCTCGGCCTACAACCATCGGGTTGGAATGCCCACATACTATGAGTCCAGTCATCCTCGGGATGGAATACTCTTGGCCCACATCCATCGGGTTGGAATGCCCACACACAATACATATATATATAAGATAATCACATATAATGAGTCCAATCATCCTCGGGATGGAATACTCTTGGCCCACAACCATCGGGTTGGAATGCCCACATACTATGCTCATATATCAGATAAACACATAACAATCTACAGACTGTCAAACCGATCTACAGATCACTAAGCATATCAACATCCTATCTACTAGGATACATATCATGACCACATATAAACGTCCTATCTACTAGGACACCGATCTAACAGATTATAACAGTAATCAAACAGGATAACAATCCAAAGGGCCGACCTTGGTGCCGTAGACCCTGTCAGTATAGTGAGGAAAGCTCACCTCGTAAATGTCGAACCGTAGTGATAAAATCAAACTCCTGAATCACTGCCACGAATCCCACCACCTTCAAAATGATGCCAAGATGAAGTAGAGTCAGATCCACAAGCTTCTCATTGCTCCAAGTTCCTCAAGCTTCAAGCCTTCTTCACAAAAATCACCTTCCAAGCTTCTTTCACACCACAAATGGAGAGGATTCAATATTAGGGTTTTCTATATATAATTAAGTTAGATGCAACAATATGAATATAAAGTGAAGAAATCATTAAGTTAGAAAACTATTTAGTTTTCTATATATAATTAGTCAAGTATTTAGTTTCTTACTTGTTCTTGTCAAGATTTGGGATCAAACCCTTTATGAGTATTTGATATTTATAAAACTGTAGTTTCATTGTTGATTGATATTTGGTTATTGAAATTTGTATAATTTATTACGATTGCTTAATTAAAGATCAATGCATACTAATATTGGTTTTGTTATGTTTATGAAACTAAGTGCATGATCTAAGATTAGGTTTGGATTATATATCTTGTATCATATTGTTTTGCTTACATTAATGGCCCAAAAGTGCATGAATAAGGTAGGACTAGTGGCAGACAGTTAATCATAATAATATTGATTTAATATTCATGATCAAGTTATTAGTTTAACTAATTTTAGAAGTTACCATTAACCATGTGACTAGTAATTCCAATTAAGTTTTTCATAATACGAAATAATTGACCAACTCTAGGCGAGCTATCATTGTTGGTAGACAACCTAGAATCATAGGATTAATGACTCGACCATCCGATCTAATCAATTTAGGAATCAATGAACAACAAATCAATATCCATTTAAATAAATTCATCATTAGAATAAAGGATGATTAAATACAAATATGAGTACCTTCATATATGTTATTTATACAAACTCTCTGAGGTGTAGACTATGAGCTATGTTCATATGCATTGTATATGTAATGTTGAAATTTGGTATTTTGCAGACCTCACTAAACTTTTTTCTTATAGTTGTGGATTCAATATTTTTCAAATAGTACTAATGTTAGAAGGAAGGGTCCAACTGAAATATACCACACACGCATAGCTATTCATTATGGATTAAACTTCCACTGATTTGATGATACTACTATATTTTATAATGATTGAAAAAAATGCTTTTATATTACTTTTGGAAAAAAAAGTTTGACATTATATTCTATCGTGAAGAACAAAAAATTTGGTTTGAAATTTGGAACGTTACATTATATATATATATATATATATATATATATAATATATATATATATTATATATATATATATATATATATATATAACCATTTCATGGTGCTAAGGGTGGATGGTAACAATTTTTTTCAGAATACCACCAGAGGTGTTGGGGGGTACCTCTAAGGCGATGGCTCCTCCATCTTGTGGTATCGTTGATTTCTATTTTCAACGGGTTATATACCACACTCTATCTTTTTCCACATATGCATTTTATACTTGTGAATTATGCCTGTATACTTGTACCATATATAGTTTTGTATGTTTTTAATTAGTTTGTGAACTGGTTTTGTATGTTATTTATATTTTGTGAACTAGTTTTGTATGATTTTTATTTCTTTCTGTTTATATTAAACTTAAAAGTTGAATTAGTTGAGAGAGATGGAAAAGATGAGTTTTCATGTGTTATGGGATGAGAAAGATGGACAGAAGAAGAGAAAGAAAAGGTGATGTGACAAGTAGGTTGAGAGTAGGTGTGACAATTGGGTTGGGCTCGGGTTGGTAAGTCACGAGTTGACGGGTCAGAATAAACGAACCCAAACGAACCCATATATTATATGGGTTGGCGGGTTGGAAACATCAACCCAACCCAACCCAACCCAACCCACATAACATGTATGAGTATATGGGTTTGTGAGGCAGTGGGTCGATTTCGGGTGAAAGAGTCGATGAGTCATTTTCGGGTAACTTTTCAAATGTTAAATTTATACGGATTATATATGTCTCTAAATTAATTAACAATTATCACTTTAAATTGAGTAGAATGAAATGAGCAATCAAATACCAATCTAAGCATCTAACATAATAACTTAATAAGTAACACATTTGAAAAAAAGATGTTTCCAAACTCGTTTATTTTAGTATCGGATTACAAGTTGGATCAAGAATTGTTATCCGAGGGTGGGAGAGATGGATACTCTCCACCCTAATGGGCTATAAAATAAAAAACGAACATAGACCTTACACAAATGGGTTATATACCTAATGTACATAACATTACCATAAACAAATTGTGTGTTATAAAAATGTTTATTTATTTATTTGTTTATAGAATGGATGAATTAGCATATGTTTGTGATTGAACCCAATACTTTCTTGTTAGAAACATTTTATTAACTAAGTGGGTTAACCCAAACTTGTATATGTTATTAGCAAGTTTGGGATGTATCAAATTATAACTATATAATATCGTATGGATTATGGATACCAAAGTAATAAGCTGATAAATTTTCAAAGAAGTATTTCCATCGGTCCAAACACTCAAAATGTTTATTAACCGTATCAACTCGTAATACGTTAATAATATATTCTGAATTATTAATGTTAACAAACCAACACTTTAGATAAGTAATCTCAAAAACCCCTAAATCTTGTCAGTCTCTATCAACTTTTCACCGTGGCTACATATGAACTCCAACCCATGTCACTATGTGCTCCATGTAAAATCCACTCAAGGTCACTCGGCCTACACGGCACTGTAAGTGCACCCTCATTACCAAACCCATACTCCTCAGCTGCTCTCTCCAATAACCTCTGAAAAGATGGACGTGCAAGATACGCCAAAGGAACCACAAATCTCTTTTCTTCATCCTCATCGGCTGCTATCACAACAAAATGTCCTTCTTTCACGTCTTCAGGCTCGGTTCTAAGATTTGTGTTTTTGGGGGCGCATTTCTTGGCTGGCAGAAGACTCTTTTGAAGCTTCTCTATAACCCCTTTGAGCTTCAAAATACCATAGTTTTTGTTTGCAAGAATTGGTGTTTTAAGATTTCCCATTTTGTGGATAGTCTCTTTTTGATCAAACAGTTTGCACAATTTTCTGCACTCTATTCCTTCACCATGTGCACATCCTTTTATAAGACTGCTTGAAAGATGCAGCAGTTGCATGTACATGGAAACTAAAGACCAAAGTAAGTGACGACAAATAGGCAGATATATGTCATGCACATCGGATAACGAGGTCTAAAAGTGTTTTCGTCAAAATAAAGGTGTAGATGAAAAGGGTTGGACGAGTAATTAATGCTATATAGGTTTCCTTCTTTACATTTTTTTTTTGTTTAAAGAAATGAAAAAATTCAATCTCAATATAACACAAAAAAAAGTAAATTGTTAAATAGAAAATATAAAAAAAAAATTAGCTATATTACTACGAATACCACTCCAATTCGTTTTCTTACAATTTCTTAAGAAAAATGTTTCAAAACATAGTTAAAAAATGAGAACTGATCCGTACACAACAAGATTTATCCATACACAACAAATTTTTATAAATAGACAATTTTACCCTTTCTATTTTACCAAATTTTACACTTTACCCATTGACTATATAAATATATTTATATCTACCATATATAACTTTTTTTTGGAAAATTTCAACTTTACGGTTTTCTCTATTTGACCAAACTTTATATTTTACCCTCCCTATCCCCCCATCACTAACAAATATATATTTTTTTGGCCTATATTTTTTTGTCATGCATAAACTTAAAAAATACAAACACAACAGTATATTTCACTTGATAATAACATTTAAAATATTAACTAGCCATTCTAAACAACAGTATGTATTTCACAAAGCTTTTATCAAAAAATGTGATAAAAAAAACCGTCTAAATAGAAAACCAAACAACAATTTTGAATTAAAAAAACTATGAAATTTAAGAACATTCAACTCAAATATAGAACTAGCTATTCAAAAAAAAAAAAAAACCTATGAAATTTAAGAACATTCAACTCAAATATATGAACCAATGACATAATCTTGCAATGTGCCTTGCAGATCTAGTATTGGACTGAGTCCAATCATTTTCAGACTTGGCTGCTAAAGATACTGTTGAATTACTTATGGCTTTCGCTAGAGACTTTCCATGTGGATTAGGCTGTGGGGAAACACCTGTTTATCCATGTATGTTTCTTTTCTCTTTCTTTTTTGACTCTATTGAACTCATCTGCTAGATAATCACACATACACTGAAATTTAATAACATTCAACTCAAATGAAACCAAAAAGGTATCAAATGGAACTCAAATGTAACCAAAAGTTATCTTGTTGTGAAGCCACAAAGATGTACAGTAAACGATCAGAGAACTAGAACTCCACTCCAAATCAGTTCACATTGATGTTTGGATTTGAAGATTGGATATATAATAGACAATTTGATAACAAAAGACTGATACAATATTGTGCAAGAAACTATAAAAAAATTAGAACATTGATATTGTACAGGGACGATCACAAAATAGAATCATGATTAAGCAATTATAAATCAATTCATGATTATATAGGAAACGATTTCAAATCAGTTCACAGTTCCAAATTCGTGCTTTTGCAAACTGGATAAGAGACACATTGATATTTGATACAGGTTGCAGTTGTACTGGGAACGATCAAAAAATTGAATCCATGATTAACCAAATCAAAAATCAGTTCATGATTTTAGAAGAAATGATTGTAAATTAGTTCACAATTCCAACTTAGTTCTTTTGCAAATAAGATAAGAGACACACTGATACAGGGAAACGATCAAAATTAGAAACAAAATCCCAATTGTAACGAAAATTACCGCGTACCTATGAAACAAGCCTGAAGCAGATGATGAACGACGGCGGTGGAGTAAGTCAGAGGCTGCGGAGACGGTGAAGCAAGCGGAAGGCGACGACGATGGTGGAGCAAGCCGGAGGCGGCGACGGGGTGAAGCAAGCAGTGGACGATGATCGAATTGAAGCTGTATCTGATCGGTGATCGTGAGAATGGGTTATACGTAGGGAAGGGTTTTAGAGTAGACGGGTAAAAAATGTAAAATAATGAAAGGGTATTTATATAACGGACAACATTTTTTTTTTATATTTTTTGCTTGTCTAGAGTAATTGGTTTTTTTTTTTTATCGTCTAAGATAATTGAACTCTTTTTTACTATCTAAAATCATCTTGCATGTTTTATCATATTACTTTACATGTTTTCCCAATCTATTTTTATAGATTTACATTTTTAATTGGTTTTTACATTTTTTCTATCAAATTTTTGATTTTACAATTTAACTATTTGTACTTTCCTTTATACATTGGGTTTCACAATCTATCTTTACAACTTTTATATATATATATATATATATATATATATATATATATATATATATATATATATATATATATATATACCCTTAAGGGTATATAAGCTTAGGTACCCAAACTTACCATACTACGTCGTTTTGTATCATATATACATTGTAATCGTCTAATATTCTTATAATTCAACTCCTAACTTGATTTACTTCAAAGATTTTTATAAATTTCACATTTATCTTCCTCTTACATAATTTTCATTTTCAACTATAATATATATAGCCTAGTATGTCATCGGCAAAAAGATGTGATGTAAGAGGAAGATAAATAGTGAAATTTCGAAAATCTTAAAAATAAATTAAGTTGGGGTTGAAGTTTAAGAACATTATAATGAATATATCAAACAAAACGACGTATTATGGTGAGTTTGGGTACCTAAATTTGTATACCCTTAAGGGTATATTCACTTTTCCTTATATATATACATGTTGAACGAATCGACAATGATCCATACCCAATCCTTTTAATAAAAGGGTAATGGGTATGAATTGTAAAGGGGTAAACATATTGAATCTAAAATCCAAATTTGTAATATTCTTAAGGGTTTGGAGCAAACAGGATCAAAACTTGTCCTTTTGATAAGTCTATTTATTTATTTATGGATTATGGATATATTGATTTAAAATGGAATATTGATATGTAAATTATGGCATATAAAATCAAATTTAAAAGATATTTTTCTAATTAATAGGGATATATATTAAATACATTAAATTCGTAATAATAACTGAAATTATTTAACTTATCTTTAAAAGCAAAACCTATAAATATGAAAGTAAGATATGAATAATATTTATTACTTATCTACATATGTTTTGTAAATTTATTTGTAGTAATGAGTTCCAGCAATATCCGTGGCATCATTAGAATAAATGAGAAAATGTAGTTTATTTATTATTATTATTATTATTATTATTATTATTATTATTATTTATTTTTATTAATTTTTTTTTGTAGTTTAATGCTCTATAAAAATATCATTTGATCGTATAGTCAAATTTGTTTATTTGGTTGTATAAATAGATATATTGATATGTGTTTTTTGTTCATTGTTATATATTTGGATTTTTTGTTAATTGGACCATAATGATACAATTTTAATCGTAGTAAAGAAATTTTTTCGGGAACACATAGAAGAATATGATTGAGATAACGAGAGTTAGATGGGAATGCAAGTTGCAGTCGACGGACAGACAACGCATTCGGCGAGAAAGGTTTTGGATTTCAGTTACATATATAGATAGACAAAAGTGGATGACCAAGATGTTGGATTGACTTATTTGTATTTCAAGTAAATACATTGATCCATTTAATATACTCAGTTTTCTTTCAAATTACTTGATTAGACTAGCTATCCTGAATAATTTTCTTATTGTTTGACCATAGGTTTTCAATTGCATATAAAACTATTAGAGTTTTTTTTAATGATAAGTTACAGATGATATACAAATACATGTCATGAACACGTGTTCGGTAAAAGTACTGTGTAGTTTTTATTTGTATAAAAATATTTTCTACAAGTAGCTGGAAGTTTCTAAAATATGTAATATTACATAAAATGACATATGGATATAAACTAAATTGAAATATAATGATTGATAAATTAATTTTCTAAACTATAATTATGAAAAGTTAAAAATCATATGAATTTTAATACCAAATGCATCGCTTAACTGGTAAAAAAAATACGCATATTGATGGTTTTGTTTGACATGCCATATCTAGCTTATTTTTCAGGATTTTTTAATTGTCATGTTTGGCATACGAAAAATAGTTTATAAGCTAGTGTTTTTAGAAAGCTACTAATGTTATGTTTCACGTAATAACTGAAAAACTGAGTGGTAGCTGAAAAATTAGATGATAGACGAGAAGCTAGTTGCTAGCTGATAAAAATTACGTTAGGTATAAACTATCTGATAAGTTAGCTGAAATATATAAAATGATATAAAAAAAATTTAGAAGAATATATTTATTATAATTAATTATGAGTATATTTGAGAAAAACACAAAAAAAATAATAAAAAAATAGAAAAACTCATGAAAATATAGTCATGTAGCTATTTAGAATACTAACTTATAAGCTATATATTTTTTTGTTACATGGCCACTTAAAAAAGTTTAAAAAAAATAAACTAGCTTATATGAGATGATTGTGACATGTCAAAGACAACATTAAACTAACTTTTTATGAGCTTATTTAAAAATTTCAAAATATACCCTTAAGTAGTTATATAAAAAATCTTCTAGATGTTTTTTATATCATTTAATATCTTTCTAGTAGCTTGTCGACTAGTCTATCAAACAACGTTGTTTTATCATCTAACTTTTCATGTAATACCTAGCTTTTCAGTTAGTACGTCAAACATAATGTAAACAATATTATTTTACAAATAAAGTAAATGAGAATTTTTAATTTTGTAAGAACTCAGACCAAACATTTTTTACATATTACAAGTGTTTCGTATGATATTAATTTCGGTTTATAAATTAATGCAAAACTTTTAGGTCTTCAACGTTGGTCTCTGTGGTTTCAAAGCTTTAAATGTTTGGTCCTTTTGTCTAATTCCGTCAAATTGGAGATGTTAACTTACCTCACATGCCGTTCTAAAAAAAAAAAAAAGAAAAAAAAAGAACTTACCTCACATGCTCTGTGC